CTGCACCTCATCTTGTATTCCAACTCGTCCAGCGTGAAATAGCTGCGTAACTGCGGTCGCACGTTTAGCGTCACAAGATCGTCGATCTCCGCCCACGTCAGCATGGAGGCAACTTGGGGGTTTGACAAGATACTTCTTGGAGGCATTGCGATAAATCACCGTACAACAGAACGAAGGAACCGGCTAAGCCTACGGCTTGAGTTGGCTACTTTCGGTCAATACTTGAAATTGAAAAAAACTGTTCTTTCCTCTAGCGCTAGATGGCGCTAAAATACACCATAAAGCATCTGCGGGTCTGTTTTCTATATCCAGTTGGAAGAACGCTAACGCACGTCAAACGCGTCGAACTAAAAGTATCGTGGACGCGCCACTTGCTGCGTACGCAACGCACCGAAGGTTGCGTACGCCTAACTAAAAGTGTCTAATAAACAAATATTTTGTTCGAAAAGGCTAGAAGTGTTTGGCAATCACATATTTAAATAATTCGGAAACATGCAAATCAACAAGATAAAAAACGAAAGCCAAAAACTGAATAATTTTTATTTGAAAATATTATAATTTTATAGAAACACACACATAGCAAATTATACTAATTGCTCCTGGTTTATGAAGACAGGTTGTGTTTAGTACTGTGATCATTAAAAATACAGTTACTGCGCAGGCGAGGTGGTGGCAATTAACAATTATGGTATTAACAATTATTGAGACGTAACCTGGCCCCAGCTTTCTTTTGTCTACCACTTCAGTATTGGTTTTTTGTACCCAAGTCTTGGTTTAATGTTGTCCTTGGAATTATGCTAGATTATAGTAAGACTTTAGGACGAATCTATTAATCGAAATGTCATTTAGTGATTAAATTTACTTGTGTCTCATAAGAAAAGAGTCACTGGACGTCCAATGCATTCCTCACAGTCCCTTACATAGTAACTATACGACTGAAGTGCGAGGGAGTAATATTTGAACGGCAGGATCCATGCTAGGTTCGTGCTTACATTCAAAGTAATTACGCACCCAATTGGGTTACGAACTTCTGTGGTTTAGATTATTTTTATTTACGCCGTTTTTGTGTCCAACATATGTCCAAAGACTTAAAAAAAAAGAAGATTTGCGGCTTAAATTTATACTTCGGTTTCAGGCACGTTGTTTTAAAAGGCCGTAAAGACTACAAGTCCCGGATCTTCATTTTCACAATTTTTTTCGCTAGCAGCTGTTATCCCCTCCCCCCTCCCCCCCCCCCTCTCCCAACTAATGGTGACCGTCTGGCCTCTGGCTATGACATACACCCTAGTATTTCCTCTTTGGCAAGCCTTCTCCCTCTTCTCTTTCTCTCGCTAGCAACGGATAAATGAAGAGCTTCACAAATTTGCAAGAAAAAGCAATTTGCTTTTATATTTAGTATGACGTGATACTTTAAGGAATACTTCAACAAAATTTGAAATATACCCGTCGTATTAAAAAATAGGTTGAATATGGTGGCGCTATTTTTTGTTATAAACGGTCAACTCTGGCAAGCGCTCAGAGAACAGCCAGCGGAGACCACGTGACATCCAACGCAATCGTGACGTAGTTCGTCTCGGGACGACCAAAGCTGCGGCGAGGCTGACGTCGAGTGGATGGCCCAGTCGTTCCAGCAACCGAAGCGACTGCTTTTGTATTTCCTTACACAATAGGTGGCAGTGTTATCCTCTCAGTGTCCGCCATTCGTGATCTTAGAATTTTGTTCGATTCATCCTTAAATTTTAATGATCATGTTTTAACTATCTATAACGCCTCTTTTAGAAAACCTGGGATGTTATGTCGATTCACGAGAAAACTTTCTTCGACTGTTTGTCTTGTGCGTTTATTTTGTTGCCTAGTGCGAACGAAGTTGGAGTTTTGCTTCTTCTGTTTGGAATAGTATTATTCTTACTGCATCATGCTGCAATAGATATTTTCACTGCATTTGTTGCTACAGCTATGAACAGTTACTTTAAAATAAAACTTCGTTTGTGTACTTTGCTTGATAGAAGACGATTACGTGATTCTGTTTTACATAGGTTGTGAATAGTGTTGTTGACTCACCACTTTTGTTATACACTTTCTGTTTTCAAGCCCCCTTGCAATCCAATCAATTTCAGAGCCCTTTGTACCCTTCTGCTTTGAATGACACCAAATAACTGACAAAGATGCAACTTGAATTCAACAAGATGGATCAATTTGTTGTAGACATTTTTAGCGATCTGATTGTTTATCGAAATATGCTTGAGTCGGTTATTTATACATAGTTATGAGCATGGTTAGTTGTGTGCATTTTTTTTTGTGATGACGAGCCGTGTGCCGCATTATATGCCTTGTGCTGTTTTTGGACACCCAACAAAAGTAAAGATCATGATTATTCTTATTAGAGTTAGGTTTCAGTGTTGGTAGTTTGGCTCTCATCTGGCATCTTTGGGCCTTAATCGCCAAACAAGTGCAAGATTTTGGTTACACGTCTGGTTGTTCAGTCTGAATCTGTCAACTTGGGATCTAAACTCCTGGTTCTTTGGTTTTTACGTGGTGGCATTTTTGGCTCAAGTTTGTCACATCGGAAATTACGTGACGAGCCAAAGAAAAGCCATAAGAAACGAAAAAGTGTTCTGGCACTAACTGACGCGATAGAACAAAACCGTAAGAGGCCAAAGATAGGCCCCTATGATCGCCAAATTTATGCTATGATTTATGTTTTGTCAGGCGTACGTGCTACCTAGGATTGTAGCACTATTTTGGCGGCAGCCGAGCAACAGCTTCATGAGGTTGCGAATAACCACAAATCCTGAGCCTCGCGGATTTCTAAAAGATTGAAATCCCGGCTTGACCGCGGGAACATCACAGAATTGTTTCACGCCGGGGCCATCTATAGGCCTTCTTGACGGCGTTCTGGTGACTGCCAAAGTGCTGAGTTATAGATGGAAATATGTACGTGAAACACTTTCTCATTGACGGAGCCATCAAAACCAAGATTGGAGCAGTCAGCAATGTATCAATGCGCGAGCGATGACTGAAAACGTACGTCGCTTTGCTAGCAAGATTGCAGCATCGTCAATGGTACAGTAGCAACTTTGATTTTGAGCGCGTGGCTTCCCTCGCTCAGGCTCTTCCACTGAGTGAAACGCCACAGGGTCTTTGATTTAATGGCGCCAGGTTAGCACTCTCGTAACTTCAGTTTACGTTTGTTGAGACCAGTATAATACATAATCCCTATGGTTGAGGTAAAAAAAAAAATTAGGTTGATGCTAGAGGTTTTTAATCAAAGCCAATATAAAGTCAAGTTTGGTCTTTCTCACACTGCAACGCGCTTTTAAAGGCGCTGACATGCTCAGTTATGAACAGTCACCCAGTTCTTTTGAAGTCTGTTGAATCCATGGGACGTCCTCCTGCCCAGTGGTTGACCTGAAGCGACGTTTACATTCATCACTTCTCCAACAAACTTAAAGGAGCTACGCAACGATTTTAACGTTAAAAGAATTGGCATCTTGTACTTCTGATATTGTTGATCTTGTCACAAAGGACAGAAAACACAACTTTTTCCTTCGAAATTTACGATTCCGCCGCGTAATTTCGAGGCAAAAATTAGAATATTCCCCGACCTGCAGCCGCGAGCGGCGGCCATGAGAAACACGCGGCATGACGTCAATGGGGGTCTTGTATAAAGATAGCACGTTTTGCGAGTACCTGCTCGATAAAAGGTAACTTTTCTATAAATCGTGTCGTTCCAACGTAAATATAAATGCGTCGAAAACCTGGTATCATCGACAAAACTTTTATTACACGGAGTTTTAGTGGCGCCATCCATCTTAGGTAACCGTCAGCTCTATCTGCTACCGCGAACGGCCGCCAGAAACCGGAGGGGAGGGGGACTGAGCCGGACGGGTATGGCCGGACCCGGATGACACTTCCCTCCTTTCACCTTATTGTTCGCGCTGCGCCCGCCAGCACGTGGTCACGCCGTCGCGAGCGGATGAGTTCTTGATGCTCACTGATGGCTCTAGAGAGAGTGCTTCACCGGAACCCCGCGCGACCCCCATTGATGTCACAACGCACGTGACTCGGAAGATGGTGAAGGAGTTGAGAGGTGCCGAAAATCTCAATCTTTTTCCATTTTTAAAATAAAAACTAGGACATGCAGGCAAGAGCGGTTTTTTGTTCTTTACTTCAGAAAGGTCGAGACGCCAACTCCCAAATTATTTAACCAAAGAACTGAAACTGTTGCACAGCTCCTTTAAACTGGCGATTTCTTATTTCTAGAACCTCGACAGAGTGCGCACAAAAACAACCATCCCCACAACTACAAAGCATAAATATACACCCAAACACAGAGCCCCGACAGGGGAACAAAACTATTTCCAGCTAGACAGCATTGTTAGAAGGTATAAAAGGTCTGTCACGAAACTGTCAAAACAATACTAAACCTCCGGGGAACACTGAATATCTAACTAGACCAAGAAGTCGCCATCTGACCGCACGAGAAAAACCCACAGGCTTTCACTGACTCTTTAAAACAAGGTATACCTCACCTCAAGCACGCTTTTCCTCTTAAGTTTCACACGGTTCATTAAAAAACAAGGCGCTGATACAGGAAATAAATTTGACAAGCCTAAGGGAAAGTTACGCAACGTCCGCCGCCGCAGTGTTCGATTATTTCGCGGAAGCTCTTTTTTATATTGCCACAGGTGTCCGTCTTATCTTTACATACTTAGTTTTTTTTACTGTTCCCACGTTCGTTAATTTATTTTCTGAATGAACGTCTCTAAGCGATTTTCTCAAGATGTTCTAAAGGAGTGGCCTTTACTCAACGCAGAACCTGTTTTAGGTGAATGTGCCACGTGACCATCCTCAACTACAAACCGGGCATACTTTCTCCGCCTTATAATTGGACACCTCCCAAATTGAAGTCACTCTTTGGTGGATGCTTCACTAGACGTCCATAGAGAGGCTTCTCGACAAACGAAGCACAGAGTGAACAGCATCGGCAGATCTTCAAGATGGCGTTGACGGCGCCAGGATTGTTGGCGGACTTAGCGAACAAGTACGACCAGTTCATGTCAATGCGCGACCCCAGAACAGTGGGCTGGGGCCTCACGAGGGATCTCAAGTTTATCCTCCCGATTTCACTCGGGTACCTCTACATCGTCAAGGTTTGGGGCCCACGATGGATGGCTCAGCGCAAGCCCTACAAGCTCAAGTCGGTCATCACGGCGTACAACCTGTTCCAGGTGATCGTGAACGGCTTCTTCTTCGTCCAGTACGCGCGTCACTCCTACGTCGGAGGCGGCTACAATGTGCTTTGTCAGGGTGTGAGCTACTCCAGGGATTCCAACTCAATGGTCATCCTCAACCTTTCTTGGTGGTACATTTTTGTGAGGATTGCGGACTTCATGGACACATTCTTCTTCGTTGCCACCAAAAAGTTTTCGCACATCACCTTCCTGCACGTGATTCATCATTTTCTTGTAGTTCTCAACGGCTGGCTATGGCTTACATTAGGCAGCGATGGTCATATTGTCATGGCACTGTGTTTTAATACCATGGTCCACGTAATCATGTATGGTTACTACTTTTTATCGGCTCTTGGACCCAGAGTTCGGAAGTACCTCTGGTGGAAAAAGTACCTCACTGGGCTCCAGATTTTTCAGATCGTTTTCCTCACCTTACACATGTGTATACCTCTATTCTACGAGTGTGGATATCCGAAGATCCTCATACTGTTAGCTGTTCCACAGGCCCTTATGGGTCTGGGACTTTTTATTAATTTTTATATTCAATCGTACATAAGTAGAGGAAGGCCAGACCTTTGCATTTCGCAAGCTAATAAAGTGGAATAAAATGTTCCCATAACCAGTTATTCATGGGTAGACACTTCAGCGGCGACAACCATTGGTTGTTACAAGACCAACTCCGACCGATTTCGAAGCGTCTGACTAAATAATGAACTTCGTTAGAGGGTGAATGAATATGATCTTGTGACACTGGGCTTCACGCGGACGTATTTGTAGCAACAAAAACAAAAAGCTGCCTAAACATTGTAGCACAGACGATCGCCTGGAATCTTCCAATTGTAAAAATGAGCCCGACTCCGCGATAAATCAAAACTAAATTAGAAAAAAGGAGTAACATCAAATTTGGGACAGTCATCAGTTACAACGTTCATATAGAAGACGTCTAATATTTTATTAGTTTAATGATTATTGACATTTTAGTCAAAAGAACACCTTACGCTCTACGCACTTATAGAAACACAAGTAAAAATTCAACGCTTTCACCACGCAGGTGTGGACGAGAACACCAGTATGAAGGCAAACTTGAGGTGAAATTTTGACCTAAATTAAACTGCAGGGGCGAGGTTTGTAACTCTAAATCACTGGGGAACGTTATACATGCCCCAGCCATTTAAGCGCCTCGCTTTAGCGTAGCAGATACCATTGTGAACAATCAAAGGAGTTCGCTTTTGCCAAAGAATACACGAACCTTTTTGCTTCTTAAAAACGGAAGAATAAAACATAAAAGACGTACAAAAACGACCACACACCTTTAAAAAAAAATGTTGTTGCTATTTTAAAGAGTGTGTCGTCCGTGTATGCCTTCTAAGTTTTTATTCTTTTGTGTTGTAGTATTTATTATAACCACGAGCTCGAATCAACTAGCATGCTTTGCAGCTGCTGCTGAAGTAATAATTTCTGCGGGTGTCTTCTGACTATTCTCAACTACAGATCAGGGTTGATTTAAAATCCGAGATCGTAGATTTTGCCGTTTTTTCACATACTTAGCAAAGACAAAAAAAAAAATGGTTACTTTAAAAAAATAATGTGCATGGGAATGAACGCAACCGATTAATCGATTAAAGGGTGGCGACTGGTCGGGTTAAAAATTTTAATCGATGCTTAGCTCCAACTACGACCTTAAAATGTTTTATTCGTCAACAACGCAACGACTCTAAATGAACACAACGTCATTTGAATAACAGATCACCGTATGACGCACGATTGGCACAATGTCAATCGATCGTCATGGTCATATCGTCGATTAAGCAGCACAGCTGACGCTGTCAAGACGCGCCACGTTGTGTGATCGTCGCGCAATATTTGGTCCTTTCTTTGAACTTGCATTGGGTCTCGTTCTGTCAAGATCGGAACACTAAGGTGCTTCTGAAGTGGCGGAAAGAGTCGGTTTGTTCGTCCGTCGCTCTCTTCCTCGTTTCTGCTTGAAACGCCGACGACAGCGCTCAGGATTTGCCGCGTTCTGCATCGGTCTTCACCCACCTGGCGCCGACCAACGCGTGTGTCGCACTGCCTCCGGGATGGATTATGCACTTCACAGCTGCGACGGAAGACATTTCACTCCGGAACGAAAAAGGATTAAAGCTTATATTATTTCGGAGATTTTCGCAGATGGGAACTTTTTACTGGTTGATTGACTGTACATTGCCGAAGACGCTTAGAACAATGGGAAACGCTGTCCGTCTAACGGCACGTCACACCGATCCACGAGTGGTTCATAAAGAAGTTTAAAATTCCGATATGAAAGTCCGTCACGTAAAACCACCCTAAGGTGGGATCTATTTCTCTTACATAAGTTTCTGTGCATGCACCCCTTCAGGTCAGACGTTCCCACATTAGGAAGCTGTCGCTCGCTAGGCGTGTCGAACTACTGCAATGTTCTTCAGGTACTGTAGACAAATTCAAAATATTTCTTGCCAACGGACAAGCTGGCTTGTAAACTCGAATTAGGTAGCTAACTTTTTTATGCGTTAAATAGCGGACAAAACGGTCATTACGAAGACTTTAAAGCGTGTTTTGAAACATCCCATTGTGTTGTTTTCATTAGGGCAGCCTTCGTGTGTCTAATATTAGAGATAAAAAAGGTGCGCGCGATAAAAAAGAAAATAAAGTCATGATCACGCTGAAAGACAAGGGAGGAGTGAATGTGCCCCGCGAAAACCAAACCCCTTGTGCGATTTGTGCTAGATTTTCAATTATTTTAGTGACTTTTTTATCATTAAATTATTTTTATTCATCGATGAATGTATTTTGTTGGATTTTGTTTATTTAGTATTATGTCATTTATTGGATTTACTAATTTATAATATTATGTTCATCCAAAAACTGTCGCTGCCGCCAGCCATACCACTTTTTTTTAAATAAATAATGTTTCTATTCGCAATAAAGTGCAAGCTGGTGCCAATTGGTGACTATCCCCGACATAATGAGCACGTTAGAATGAGAAAGTGGAGAACACCGCGGGGGGACTTGAGGACGCTTGAGAGAGGACGTCCCCGGGCACGGGCACGTCCTGGGTGTCCGCCTGCCCCACGCCCGTCGCTGCTCCAGGGGTGTTGAGGACGCCCCGTGTCCGAACTTGTTCCCTGGAGGTGCGAAGCCCGCTGGGGCTGAAACGTTACATATATGCTTTTCACAGATGGTTTGCTTTTAATTTGCATTTTTTCTCGTAAATAAGGAGTGTGAGTTTGTAGAGTTCTGTTTTCAACATGTATGGTTCGGTAGACATTAGATAAAGGGACATTTATCACGGTAAGTTGACAATTTTACTGCAATGTCCTAACTATCTTTTTTTAATATTTTGTTTTATGGGTCATGTTGGAATCGCAGAATTGATGGCAATTACTATAAGAAGCCAAACTATTTTTTATTGCGAAAACGTAATGGTGTTTGATATATTAACCGATGAATAGTTGCGTTTTGTTTTGCCCCCATTATAAATTGCGCTAGAAACATCGTAAAAAATCCTGCCCACCATGACGCCTGGATATGTGATGTCATCGTTTCAATCACGTCGTCACTATCTCCTTCGTGTGTCCTTCGTAGATGCGTTGATGACACAAATGACGACGGGACGGAAACTACTACGTCTCTCTTCCAAGCACCAATGTGGCCAGGGCATGCTGCGCACTTTTTGAGCACAATTTTTAAACCAGGCATAAAAAATTACCAAATATTATATGTAAAACATTATTATCTTTTCGCATTTTTCAATGCGTTAGCATTCGTGCTCTGGTACGTGCGCTGACCTTGGGCTACTATGGAGCATGCATGCGTATATGAAGTTCGCAACGTCGCCAGGGGAAGGCACCGCAGCCCGACCGGCTGTGAAAACAGGCTAGGAATCACTTGCAAGCGCCGAAAGATGGCGGTGGGGTGCATATTGCAACATAGTTCTTTATATCTAGATGGTGGTTTTAAAAGCGCAAAAGACTGAGAAGAGAAGGAGGGGACAGGACAGAACGCTTTTAAAACGCTTTAAGCGCTCTGTCCTGTCCCCTCCTTCTCTTCTCAGTCTTTTGCGCTTTTAAAACCACCGTCTAGATGTTCAACCCACTAGCCCCCCAATTAATTCTGATGCGAGGTCTTTATACTGGGAGAGTTGGGCGACCTGGCGGTGCTTGCAGCCCGCCAGATTTAGCCGACTTCGAACGAAGAGCGTCCGCCATCTTGTGTTACTTCCGCAGAGGCGCGTAGCGCGCGCAGGGCCGTGTAGGTAACGAGGCGCCTCGTTCACGCAATTAATACGTTGTAATAAACGAGTTGCGATAGATCGAGTGCGCTCAGACTATTCGGCGAACTTCGTAAGCATTATTGGAGACTCTTTCAGCGTTTGCAGTGGCTCGCCGGCGTTAACCGCATGCACGATTGTCGAGGACAGTTTTAAGGCGCATGTGTTTCGTTTTCGCTTACTTATGCCACTGATGCACGTCGCTCTGCGATCGTACCACGGCCATATTTGCCGACGAGATCAGTGCTCAACTGGGTGCAAATAAATTTCAGCTTATAACAATAGTGGCCGATTTTGTGGTTCAATTTAAGCGCTCACTTTTTTCGACACCGGGTATTTGTAAGACGCAATCAGCACGACGAAGCGGGAGTCGAATTATGTGGTTACCTTGTACCAGTTCGAAAATAAATTTCAATGGGAAAGACTTTCTTTTCTGTAAGCTATATGAGTATAAGCATAAGTTCTCCACATTACTATCTTAATAGTCCTCTTGACAGAAACTAGCGAACTCAGATTAAAACATGAGGTACTGTCTAGACGTCCCTGAATGATGTTTATCACAGTTGCATCAAATGATAGACTTCATACTGGAGTAATACCGTCATATAATAACAAAAATATAGAGTTCATACGGGAGGAATGGGTACTTTCTAGTATCACAAAAAAAAACAAAAAAAACATTATCACACATTTTACGTCTTCCGACTTTGTCCGCAAAGTTCAAACGTAAAAACAATTTAAGACCATTTAAACAAACGCCGAGTACCCTATATCCTACTGTACAACCAAATAAAAAAATGTATTGAATAAAGAGAAGAAACTTGAGATCACATTAGTCCACATGCATTGTAAAGGGAACATTGATAATTGTAAACTAAAACAAGTTAAAAGAACAGAGCACTAAACGAATAAAGTAGGCAAAGTGTCACCGTGCAAAACCCAAGACAGCTGAAACACGTCAATGAAACCGCGTGAAGATTTCACAGTGGCATTAATCCCTCTTACCCATAATCGCTACTACATCCCCCCCCCCCTCCCCCATGCAACATAGAAGCCTCTTTAGTATACAAAATGTACATGGTGACATGCATAAATTTGAAAGCATAACCAAGACATGTGCCTAGTGGTTTAAAAGTGTTTAACTGGCGCAAAACTAAATTATGAAAAATGGCAATCACCTAATAATGTCAACTCTCATGCTTTTTACAAAGATGCTGCTTCCTTGCAGCTGACATTCTTGGAAACAACTGTATGGAGCCTCCTACTGTTTGAACAGAAGGATTATGGTGCTATTGTGAAGGAAACGTGCTTAGAAATA